ATGCTCTTACTGGCGCCACATTGTTGGGGGAAGCGGTTTGGAGCGTTACGGTTTTCAGGTTTGGAACATTACTACGATGCAGTTAGATCACTGTCCACCCTGGAAGAACCACTCTTTCTTGCCTCTGAGATACTGTTCTAGTGGCTGCGGATACATCCTGGTGGGAAATACTTGGTTTATTGCTTTAACTCGTGTTTTTCAAAGAATGGCCATACGATGGGGCTGATCAAGACAGATGTTTTTCCCGTTCTCAATTTGTTTTTTTCGAATTTTGGATGTAATTTGTTTTTTTTGTTGTTGACCTTGAATAGTTTTGGCGAAATGCTTCAGATGTAGTACGGCAAAGCGGACCTCAAGATGGAGACACGTGTTCCGTCCCTCACAGTGAAGCTAGGGCTGTGCTTTAGAAAGTGCAAGAGTCGATAGATTTCTATGGTGAGAAGTGATGGATATCTTTTCTGGTAGTTCTAACTCGATGGTTACCGATAGCGAACTTCAAAACTTAAAAGAAACCTAAGCACATTCTGAGAAAGCACCTCATATACTCTGCGATCGGATGATTTAAAAACTATCACAACCGCTGACTGCTTTTTGTTTATTGTTTGTTGTTTGTAACGTTACGTGCGGTAAACACAAAAATAGAGAGTACAGCAGCCACGGCGATGAACCTAAAAAGCAGTGTAGGGGAAGCAACCGCTATCTCAGTTTTACCAGCGGTAAATTCGTGCATTTCTCAAGGAGTATCGCTAAAGGGTCAAAATTCTATTAGGCGTCGTACACAAAACTTTCTTTTTTTTTGCTGAAGCATTTCCTCATACATCCAAGTTTAATATGAATTTTTCAGTTTTAATAATTCTAATAGTAATTTCTATATTTATTTTCCAGAGGGCGGAAGTGGTGTAGTGGCAAGTGGCACGCTTACCACGCGAGCGGTCCGGGGATCAAATCCTGGGTCGTGAGTCGCCCGGGCCAACCAAGCCTTCCATCCCTCCGGGGTCGGTTAATTGGTACCAGACTTGTCTGGGAGGATAAAAACACTGACATCGGCTGGCCCCCGCAAGTCATTGTATAGGCCACATCGCATTCAAACGCCACTACGAATGTACAAATGGAAGTAGAATGCGTGCCGCATCCCAAAAGGGATTGATCAACGGCAAATGCTTTATCCTTTTATAATGCAACAAAAACGAAGTTTTACGCCAGGTGGATGTCTGCCTCTTTTTTCTTCGCAGAGATTGCCGGCGTTGACGGAAGTTCCTCAGCAAAATATTCCTAAATGTCCCTCTATAAGTACACGCGCAGGCCCTCCTTCACTACCCTCACCGTCTTCAGAATATGACGTCATCTGTCACCGTCGTCGAGCTCAGGGAGGCCTACAGTAACTGCTTCAGCCTGAAGCTCTTACATAATTTCTTGGATCGATTCAACGTGGGATAGTTTCCTAGGGACATTAGCTCTAACTATGCAAACCCCCTCGGAACCCGCCCTTCGGAACCCGTCGTAACGGTACACGATCAGTCGAGAACCCCACTGAGCTCGACCAGAGCACCATGTTTCCGGGGCAAATTTTCTGATGCCGTCCACGTAGATGGCCACTATGAAGATTTTCTCATGAAATGAAATGCGCTCTTCAATTCTAAGTTGGGAGCACACGCTTTGAGCTGAGCAAAGTGTGATTAAATCCATTTGAGTCTGGAGACAAAATGTCTTTTTTATCCCCCCCCCCGCATACATTTCCTACGACAGCTTACTTAGTGGAATTGTCGACTTCATGCTCATGAAAGGATTTGAGCAAGTTGAAGGATTGAGCCTTGAATCGAACAACTGTCGAGAATCTGTTTGTCTTGAGTAGTGCGCAAAAGCCAAGGCAACTCTCTCCTTTGCACCGATATTGGCTTGGGAGAAGAAGAAAGGCTACTTTTTGGAACCAGAGCACCTTTGAAGGTGGTCAGATTCGAAGGGGCTGCATGATCAATTTCTCCCCTATTTACTTATTTGTTTCCAAAAACACGCCATAAAAAATAAAATAGCATGAAAAAAGTCTCAAATCCGAACAAATCCAGTCCACCTTTGTTTGCTTTCCTGTGATCTGAAATTTATAAAGCGTAAAGCGTGATCTATTAGGAACAAAAGGTTCCTCCCCAAAGTTCGGCCTGTCTCCTGCAGCACGATACAAACAGAAGTAGATAGAACTGCTATGATCCGATATATTCGAGAAGTAGTTATATTCGTAGGTAGGAGATTCGGTGTTTCGCCATGCGCATGGTGCCGGGATTCAAAAATTTCAAAAATCGGAACGGTTTTGACCGCATTCGTGCAGCCACGCTTCATTTTTTGTGTTAATTTTCCGATGAATGCTAAATTTAGGAAGTGAAATCGCAATCATTTGCCCTCGTTTATAATCCTCGATCGGTGTTTTTGCTTGTCTTCCTGATGTTCTCGCATCCAGAAAACGCCAGGGAGAGGAGGCGTTTGGTATCTTCAGGCCTTGAGGAAAACCGATGCTCGCTCGAAAGTCAGCCACTAAATAAAGTCTGCCACTACAACCTCGTTGGCAGAACTATAACATTATGATTACAGCAATTATTTTCGTTTTCGTGCTTTGACCGGGTGGTATGAAGCTCCCTAGCTGAGGACCCCGCTAGGCAAAAATCCTTACTATTATAGTTGTGGGATTTCGCTCATCCCACCTGCGGAATTACTGTATGTAGATACCTGTACAGTAATACAGTAGATTAAGCGGCTCTTTGTTCTATTGGATTACTTTGGATTACTTTACAGAGGTGAAATGGAGTTTGAGGGGGCTGCTCAATTCTTCTGCCGCTCTAACGTGAAGACTAGTAGTGGCGTTGATAACGCCAAGGGAAAGACCTTTGATAATGTTTCACAAGAATACTGGGTTGTGAACAAAACTTTCGCCCCAGGCGGGACTAGAACCCGCACCTCTCTCTTTCCGGGCCAAGTGCACTTTTGATAATATTCATTCAAAGAAACTTCTAGATAGGAAACCGGCTGAATCAGCCTGGAATTGCGCGGAGAACCGATTCTGGGCCAAGAGTTGGATATTTTTGGCCTAGGCTCAGGGGTGAAAGGGTAGAGTGGGTGGGGAGCTCCCCACTGTGGAAGGAATCACTTAAATGTGCAACCAAAATGATTGGATGTCGATAATGAATGGTTTTTCGTCGATTCTTCCCAATAAATCTTTGATGTTATTATGCATGGTATCAAATTCTCATGCCTCATCACTAGAGTTATCCTAAGCCTTGATTCTTATCGTTAGAGCCGAAGCAGAATGGAATGGCCGCCTCCTTTTTTCATTTTCACCATTTACAGATTATTCTGGATAATTCTAAGTAGGGAAAGAAAGAGCAGAACTCTTTTGGTATTGATTAGCTCCACATCGCATACGCCATGAATTTGATTTCTAGTCGAATCATGTTCGCGTTGAATGTGTGCAACAGTAATTAACTGAGGCCTAGCAATGTGAAACTTTGTGTTTTTCCTTTCCATGACAAGCCTGTTGATCGCTCCCGAAGGGAAGAAAAACTTGCTTTGGGTTATGGCAGTACGATCTGGGAATCTGATCCTTGTACTACCCATGTTACATCCAATACGTAGCGGTTCGAAAGTGTTCGTCAAAACGGTTTTCCGTGCTTCTCTTTTTTTGCCAAAAAATCAATGGTGGCCTCGAGATTTTTTCTTTCGAACATCCTGATTCTTCAAGGCTCGAGGATATAAAAACGCCAGAAAACAGTATATATCAATCTTTGGAGGGCGTTGCTCAAGCGACTAAAAATCGTTTCGGCCAAAATTTTGACCGCTACTGTATGTATAATACCATTTGTCACTGTCCCAGATGCGACTCATGTATGAAAACATATGCTCTCAAAAATTCAAAAGTTGTCAGCTGTTGTCCGCCTGTCGATCTTCTGGCGTAATTTCGTAACACTTATCAAAACGAGACTCGCCGTCGGCTGTCGTTTCAAATGCATTCATGGCCATCAACTGCGTAGCATCCCACCATTGTCGCTTACTGTGCAGTAATGAGGTATCAAGGGAACTAGGCGGGAGCGAAAGTCCGCCCAACTGGTTTCGGAAGTTTTTTGAACCGACCAAGAAATTGATTCGGTTTACTTTGTAACAATGGTCGTGGGTGAATAAATAAAATAGTTCTGAAAACTATTAGGACTGGTTTTTCGAAACAGGAGAAGTAGAATGGAAGGAATTTCAATTAAGGTAAAGGATAAAGCCACCTGATGTTGATCAGTACTTTTTGGGACGTGCCGCGCATTCTACTTCCATTCAGGGTCATAGCAACATTTGAGTGGGTAGTTCAGGTACTCCCACACTCCGAATACCAAATGCGGCATCGAGGTTTGATGGACGATCGGGTCCCCGCACTGTGCTCATTGGAATTGGCTCCATTTGCTACCACACCACCTTTGCCCCAATACACCGCCTTCGCTCGACGATTCAATAAATCTTATACCATTTCATAAATGGTTGATTCCGAAAAGGTTATTTGGTCTTGATATTGATGGTATTAGTTCGCGCAGGACACCACACTTGATTCGGTTTGTCTTCAGCCCGATTGAAACGTTTGCTAGTGTGATTTGGTTAGAGTGACACCTACTATGTGATTAGCTGCCAAAATGTTGGCGTTGCCAGGCGCATGGCCGATTCTCCCGCCAGCTGCCAAGTCCCCACTTTCAAAGAGCAAACATCAGCCTTTTTTATAGGCTGGAAAGGGCGTATTTTCACTTTTCCACCCGAATTAACCGAGCTTCCGCTCTTTTCCTCGAATTCTGCACCTACTGAAATTTCCGGGAAGCATTTCCTTCACTGTTTTCATGCGACAAACAACCAGTGTCTGCCAAAATCAATACGTCCACAGCGAGTTTGTCGTCGTCGGCGACCTAGAGATATTGACCGAGGGAGAATTCTTCGCCGAGGCGAATAAACAATAGCCCTGACAGGAGCTAATTATCGTTGTCGTTCAGGAGAATTACGTGGCCGATTTGGTTGTGGCGTCCGGTTCCTACTCGACAGACGCACATCTCACTGAGGGAGTCTCAGGAGACGAGGATGTTCACTATCTCATTGATTTCGACATGGCATTCCTGGGAGACAGCGAGGAGCAGTAGGTTGCGAAATGTCCTCCCCATCTCGATTCGATTCACAGCCGCACTTATCCGCTTTCTCTTAGATTCGCTGAACATGAAAAAGCTCAACGAAAAGAGTACAGCCATATGAGCGATGACGAGTACCGGAAACAACGGGAAAAGGTGGGGCTCAATTCTGTCTTTCGGTGATATTCGCTTCCTATATGGCATTTTGCCTTGAGATCGATGACTTTCTTTGTTCCATCGCTCGTGCAGCCATCAATTCCATTAATCCTGCCCTTCTGAAATAGCTCCTTAGAAAGCCGAAGCGATTGATTAGCCAAAAAAGACTGGAGATAGACGCATGGGATAGAAGCCTTACTGCACAAACCCTTCCTTACAATTCAGATCGGGACTTTCTCTTCTATTACCAGTTATTGCCAAAGAGCAAGTTGCATGGCTACGGAAAGTGTTGCCATTGGTTTCATGTCTACAATTAGCTTGCAGCGGGGATAAATGTGATTACGGGCTAAACGAATGAAAGGGCAAGCAGCACAAAGCTCAATAAAGGTTGATATTTCTCGGGAAAATGCGCCGCGCTATGGCCGGATTGTGCCCATGTTTGATAGTGTGTCTACAGGGGGGGGACAAAAAGAGGACACTTTGCCCAGGTCGATTTCAGCCTCTTTTCTTCGCAGAGATTCCGTCATTGACGCAAGTTCCTCAGCAAAATTCCAATAAATGTCCCTCCTAGTAAGTAAAAAACCAGGCTTCCTTCACTACCCCACCAGTCTTCCAGAATAGAATCATCTGTCCCCTGTTGTCGAGTCTCAGGAGAGGCCTATACTGACCCTCTCAGCCTGAAGCTGACCCTCATCACTTCATAGATCCGCATCTACCAACGGGATAGTTTTTTTTTAGGGAGAAGTTAGCGTTCTAACTATGGCTGAACCCCCGTCGAAACCCACCCATTAGTATATTTTTCCCTCGTAAGCGGTTCACTATCCTAATCGCAGATCCACTTCTACGTAGCTCGATCTAGAAGCACGATGTTTACTAGGGCATAACTTTAATTCCATGATTCACCGCTATCACCGCCGAGTAGACGAGCCTCACTTTAGAAGATATTTCCCTACATGAAAACTGCAAATGGCCAAAGTCATATAAGTCCAATCGTACTAGTTGGAAGCAACATTGCTTATCAGTCGGCTGCGGGCAGGGGATACAGAGTGTAGGAGTTCATAATTCATGTTGACGTCCACTGGGACCACCAAATACCTTTTTATCCCCGCCGCATACATTTCCAACAGCTTACTTATGGAAATTTGTCGACTTCATGCTCACGAATGGATTTGAGCAAGTTGAAGGATTGAGCCTTGAATCGAACAACTGTCGAGAATCTGTTTCTTGAGTAGTGCGCAAAAGCCAAGGCAACTCTCTCCTTTGCACCGATATTGGCTTGGGAGAAGAAGAAAGGCTACTTTTTGGAACCAGAGCACCTTTGAAGTTGGTCAGATTCGAAGGGGCTGCATGATCAATTTTTTCTCACCTATTTATTTATTTGTTTCCGAAAACACGCCATAAAAAATAAAATAGCATGAAAAAAGTCTCAAATCCGAACAAATCCAGTCCATCTTTGTTTGCTTTCCTGTGATCTGAAATTTATAAAGCGTAAAGCGTGATCTATTAGGAACAAAAAGGTTCCTCCCCAAAGTTCGGCCTGTCTCCTGCAGCACGACACAAACAGAAGTAGATAGAACTGCTATGATCCGATTATTCAGACAGCATTATATTCGTAGTAGCGATTCGGGTTTCGCCATCCATGTGCGGGACTTCAAACTTTAAAAATCGGGAGGGTTTCTTGACCGCATCCTGGCCACGCTTCTTTTTGTGTAATTTCGACCATGCTAAATTTTGGAAAAAGTGAAATCGCAATCATTTGCCCTCGTTTGTAATCCTCGTTCGGTGTTTTCGCTTGTCCCCCTGACGTTCCGTCAAAAACCAGCTAGGGAGAGGAGGCGTTTTGCCGTTTAAGCCAATATCCAACACCTTTAGCCTCTTGGGCCTGAGAAAACGATCTCGCGAAACACAGGCACTAAATGAAAGTTTGTCCACTAACAACCTCGTTGGCAGAAGTATAACATTATAATAACAGCAATCATTTTCGTTTTCGTGCTTTGACCGGGTGGTACGAAACTCCAAGGAGGACCCCGCTAGGCAAAAATCCTTACTATTATAGTTGTGGGATTTCGCTCATCCCACCTGCGGAATTACTGTATGTAGATACCTGTACAGTAATACAGTAGATTAAGCGGCTCCTTGTTCTATTGGATTACTTTGGATTACTTTACAGAGGTGAAATGGAGTTTGAGGGGGCTGCTCAATTCTTCTGCCGCTCTAACGTGAAGACCTAATAGTGGCGTTGATAACGCCAAGGGAAAGACTTTTGATAACATTCATTCAAAGAAACTTCTAGATAGGAAACCGGCTGAATCAGCCTGGAATTGCGCGGAGAACCGATTCTGGGACAAGAGTTGGATATTTTTGCCTAGGCTCAGGGGTGACAGGGTAGAGTGGGTGGGGAGCTCCACAGTGGAAGACCTTAAAATATCAAAAAATAATTGGATGTCGATAATGAATGGCTTTTCACCGATTTTTACCAATAAATTACTTTGAGTGTTATTATGCATGGTATCAATTCTTATGCTCATCGCTAGGTTATCCTCAGCCTTATTTTGATTCTTATCGTTAGAGCCGTAAGCAGAAAATGGAAATGGCCGCCTCCAATTCCATTTTAACCTTTACAGATTAGATTCTGGATCATTCTAAGTAGGGGAAGAAAGAGCTGAACTTTTCGGTGTTGATTAGCTCATGGCATACGCCATGAGTTTGGTTTCTATTCGAACGTGTTCGCGTTGAATAGAAACCAACAGGCTTGTCGTGGAAAGAAAAACACAAAGTTTCACATTGCAAGGCCCACTTAATTACTGTTGTTCGTTCCCGAAGGAGGAAAAGCTTGCTTTTGGGTTATGGCTAACCAGGAAATGCTTTGAACTTCCCATGAAACTTTGGAAGGAGACCTGGATGTGTCGATAGAGTCTTATGGACACTAACTACTGCTACGTGAACTTTCTAAGAAAGTTACGAGCCTTCAAAGTTGGCAAAAAACGTTACTGAGGCGAGCTTACCTGATGGAATCACAGTCGCCGTGGCTCTGCGCCAAAAACGAGTCTCATATTCGTAATCAGGGCACCCATTTACCCTTATAGAACAAGTTCCAGGCAAAAAGCAAACCGTGTTTCCACATAGGTTGCACCTCATCATTAGCGTTCTTTTGCAACTTTTAAGGCTCACAACTTTCTTACAAAGTTCACGTAGCAGTAGTGTCCCACATTTTAATCAGCGTCCAAAACTTATCGATGTACTAGGTCTCCTTTCAAAGTTCCATGGTGAAGTTCAAGGCATTCCCTGGTAAGTACGATCTGGGAATCGATCCTTGTATACGCATAATATAAAACTACCAGTTTAGCTCCGCCCGCTACCGCGCGCATTGATAGAACTGACAATCGATGAAGCTTTAGGTTTCACCGCTAAATTATAGCTGCTTCGTTAAATGTATTACTGTCGTTGCATAGGCTGCCCATCTTGGCTGTATCTCACTGTTTGATAAGCGCAGTGAAGTGCACAGCTAAAGTGATGATGTAAACAACCACTATGCGTCGAGTATCGAGGTAATTTAGCGGTCGAATATCTCAAAACGGAATGCCTAGTATTCATTATCATATTTATTCGAGCATCCCATTCATCCTCAAGAACTCTAGAAGGTGTAGCGGTCGAAGGAGTTTACAATTACAACGCTGATGAAATGATATTGAAATGAAAGGCATTATCTACAATCTGCTCTCTATTTTCTATTTCAAGTGCTCTCTACGTTCGTACGCATATCGTTCCTATCAGTCCTCATCAGTCGTTATCACTTTTTGACCCCCACCAAATATGTTCCCGTCCCACCCCCTATATCATGCCCCAAAATCAGCTCCTGACGACTGCTGCGAAGCGCACTATGAATTTCGTGAAATTTGTGTTTCAGCGCCTCTTATCTGCTCTTATCAGTCGTTATCACTTTGTGACCCCCACCAAATATGTTCCCGTCCCACCCCCTATCATGTCCCAAAATCAGCTCCTGACGACTGCTGCGAAGCGCACTATGAATTTCGTGAAATTTGTGTTTCAGCGCCTCTTATCTGCTCTTATCAGTCGTTATCACTTGGTGACCCCCACCAAATATGTTCCCGTCCCACCCCTATATCATATCAAAAAATCAGCTCCTAACGACTGCTGCGACGCGTGCTATGAATTTCGTGACACACACACACACACACAGACAGACAGACATAGCGCTTTATATATAGTAGGGATAATCAGTGCGTCAAAGTGTTCGTCCCGCGTACTCTCGATGGACTTCACTTTTTTTTTTGCCAGAAAAATCAAGGTGCCCGAATTTTTTCGTTCACACCCTCCTGATTGTTCCAGTCGAGGATACTAAATAACCCATAAAACAGTATATCAACCTTTTCGAGGCTTGCTCATAGCACAAAATCGTTTCGGCGAACATTTTTGACCGCTACTGTATGTATAATACCATTATGTCACTGTCTCAGATGCGACTCATGTATGAAAACATATGTTCTCAAAAATTCAAAAGTTGTCAGCTGTTGTCCGCCTGTCGATCTTCTGGCGTAATTTCGTAACACTTATCAAAACGAGACTCGCCGTCGGCTGTCGTTTCAAATGTATTCATGGCCATCAACTGCGTAGCATCCCACCATTGTCGCTTACTGTGAAGTAATGAGGTATCAAGGGAACTAGGCGGGAGCGAAAGTCCGCCCAACTAGTTTTGGAAGTTTTTTGAACCGACCAAGAAATTGATTCGGTTTACTTGTGACAATGGTTGTGGGTGAATAATAAAATAGTTTCTGAAAACTATTAGGACTGGTTTTCGAAAACAGGAGAAGTAGAATGGAAGGAATTTCAATTAAGGTAAAGGATAAAGCCACCTGATGTTGATCAATACTTTTTGGGACGTGCCGCGCATTCTACTTCCATTCAGGGTCATAGCAACATTTGAGCGGGTAGTTCAGTACTCCACACAAATACCAAATGCGGCATCGAGGTTTGATGAG